TCACTGTCCCCACGTGAGGCGGAATGTTGATTGACGTTACTTAGAGCAAGGCAGACACTGATGCATTCAGATGCCTTGCTTGGCAGAGGACTGCAGGACCGGGTTCCCCCTTCAATAGTATCCAAATGTGTGGCATGACGTTGGGTGAACTCCGTTCCCTTCGCTCACAGTCCCGTGGTCATATTCTTCATTATTCATGCCTAATTGCTCCACCCAGACTCCCCGGCTCATCTTTCACAGCTCATTTTCCCTGCACCATTCTCAGCACTTCTCAGAGGACCGATCAAGGAACTGTCCTGGAATACAATATTTGCCATAGCTATCTCCTCAGTGGAGCCATTCTGCCCCAGCCCTCATTCTGCCTCCCAGGCCTGCCTCTGATTTCCCCTGGGATTAAAAGTGCCTCCCCTAGAGCCTGGCCGAGAAGTTAGAATGGGTTTTAAGTTTGGATGGATTTCCATGAAGAGCTATCCTGTCATTGCCTATACACGGACTCATATTTCTTGGAACTGAGAGTGGACAGAGCAAGGGTGTCTCTGACTGTCGACAGGGCTGGACTTCTTGGCTAGCATCCCACCCTCCTTTCTCCTCCATAGGATGTTGGATTTGCTCGCAACAAGACCCCAAAGCATTTTGTCAAGAGGGGAGGACCCAAGCATGTGTCCAAGTCTGTGGCTCATGTGGCCATCTGATCTCCAACTGCACGCAAGAGCAACTTGGGGAGACTGTGACAGCTCAGGTCAGCAAAGGCTCTGCAGCTGCTACTCACCTTCCCTATAAAATTCTCCAGGATCTGGACAAAGAAGCCTCCTACCTAAGTACAGTGTTCCATCAGCTTCCCCGTAGATCTGGCTAGTAAAACAGCTTTGAAATGTGATGACGCACAAAAGAGCTAGAGGTTTGAGCCTTGAAGCACTATGGGAAGAAAGAACTTCCAGCAGGCCATTTTGTATGCAACAGAAAATTTTTAAAATATACCTGGATTAATCAATAAAAAGACCAGTAGGAAAAAATAAAAGAGGGGAGGACCCCAGAGATGTCCCCACCCTGCTTGCTTTACCTTTAATCCATTGCCCTCAAGGTGACTTCCACTCATGGACACCCCTTGTGTCACACGGTAGAACTGCCCCATAAGGTTTCCATAAGGTTCCGGGCAGTCATCTTTTGGGGAGTAGCCTGCCACGTCTTTCTTCTTCAGTGCCACTGGGCAGGTTCAATGCTTTAGGTCAGCAGCCAAGGCCAAGTTGTATGTGTCATGCTGGGATAAGCCGTGTTCGTTAGGTGCTCTCAAGTTGGTTCTAAC